ACACGTGGCCGCGCTCCGCGCTGACTCTCATCCCAGTGACTGTCTTCCCGAAAATAAAACACGGGCGAGTCTGCCAGCAGCTTCCCAACTGCTCGTTCGTTCGCCGGGCGAGAGGAGATGTTGACGAGTGGCGAGTTAATTAAATCATGTTTAATTGTAGCCACTGGAAGAGAAAAAACCTGTGTCCGGAGAAAATAAACTTAACACCATTAGCCTTCCCGTGAGCGAGCAGTGCCAAGAGTTGAAGACACTGGGAATAAAATCAATAGTCAATTAAAGGCGAGCCAGATGGTTTCGAGTGGGTTTCCTTGGCTCTTAACGAGCCGGCAGATGTCGCCAATACCGCTCAGCTGTTGCTCGTCCAAGGGGGCGGCTGCCAACTTGGAAGTGACTGGAGGACCCGGGCTCTGTGAGGCGTCTGCATGAAACCAAGGCAAGCATTTGTGGGAGACGCTGAGAAAACACCAACTCACTACACCCTGAAGTGGAATCTGCTAAGATGTGAAAAAACTGATGATGAAAAGATGTGTGGAGCTTAAAAAAAAAAAAGGCTGAGTTGGACAAACTTTATGAAAATATGAAGTACTTAAAGCTTATGAGGCCTGGCCGGCATGGCTCAGTGCCTGAGCGTCGGCCTGTGAACCAGGAGGTCACGGTTTGATTCTCATTCAGGGCACAGGCCCGGGTTTGCAGGCTCCATCCCCAGTGGGGGGCGTGCAGGAGGCAGCCGATCCATGATTCTCTCATTATTGATGTTTCTCTCTCTCTCTCCCTCTCCCTTCCTCTCTGAAATCAATAAACATAATTTTTTAATACAAAGCTTATGGGTACTCATTGTATCAGCCACCAGTGTGTCCAGGAAGCTGACCCGTAGCCATTCGCCACTGCTACAAGGTCCCCTTCAAGGACCCCAGGCACACCTCCTCCCGCACAAGAGGGCGCAACCAGAAGCCGCCCTGGAGAGGCCCTCCCCTCACCCTGCCTCTCGGGCCTCCCTGGAGGGCGGCTCCACTCAGCTGCTGCCTGCTGGGGTGGCACGCCCATCCTAAGCTTAACAACCCACACATCGGGCCCCGGCGTGTGCCTCTGTCTGCTGCTGCCCAGGGGCCCCGTAAGCCCACGGTCTGAGCCGAGACGGGGTGGTGGGAACAGCTGGGTCACCGGAGAGTGTCCTGTAGTTGCCTCTGTCGCTTGTGTCGTTGGTTTCCCACGGTCTGTGTGCGTGGCCACCGGTGAGCTCAGGGAGGCCTGCCATGCTTCTTCAGACTCAAAAGGTCCAGGGGGGCCCTGAATGCAAGTTTTGGGGGGCCATCAACCCAGGGGATCCCAGCCCACGTGTCAGACTTCCGTTCTTTCTCCTGCCCGGATCTGGGCCCAGCATCCTACCTTGGCGGAGAGTTGAACCTTCGCAAGAGGTTGGCCACGTGTCTGCACCCTAGCCCGGTGTGCACCCTAGCCCATGTGTCTGCACCCTAGCCCACGTGTCTGCACCCTAGCCCGGTGTGCACCCTAGCCCACGTGTCTGCACCCTAGCCCGGTGTGCACCCTAGCCCATGTGTCTGCACCCTAGCCCACGTGTCTGCACCCTAGCCCGGTGTGCACCCTAGCCCACGTGGCTGGGCCAGAGCGTTGTCCTGTGCACCAAAGAGTTGTGGGTTCAATTCCTGATCAGGGCACATGCCCAGGGTGTGGTGCCATCCTGTCAGCGTGCGTACCAGAGGCAACTGATAGATGTTTCTCCCTCCCCTCTCCTCTCCTCTCCTCTCCTCTCCTTTCCTTTCCTTTCTTTCTGGAACACCCCATATCCAAACCTGCTCCCTGCCTCTGCTTCTCAGCCTCCCTGGCAGCCCTGACTGCTGAAGAGTTGCATCCAGATCGATTCTCTCCGCTCCTCTTCCTCTCTCTCTCAAATAGACAAAAACATCCTTGGCACTGGCCGGCAGACTCAGTGGTTAGAGCCTTCACACCTGAGGGTCTCGGGTTCGATTCCTAGTCAAGGGCACATACCTGGGTTTCACATGTGGGAGGACACCAACTGATGTGTCTCTCTCACATCCGAGTTTCTCTCTCTCTCCTCTCTCTTCCCCCTCCCTTCCACTCTCTAAAAATCAATGGAAAAATATATCCTCACTCCTTGGGTGAGGATTAACAACAGCAAAAACTAACTAAACACATGTCCTTGGGAAGGATTTTTAAAAAGAAATACACATCTTTGAATAGAAATCTCCTGTCTGTAGGAATTTCAGACAGGCACCTGTCCTCTGCGCTTCTGTCAGTGACCGTGCGCCGGCTCATTCTCCGGACGCGTTTTCTGTCACAGTTCACCTCCCAGAAGCACTTGGGAGAAGCTTGATGGAAACTGAACTCACAAAGACGCCGTCCTCGCCGCACCCGGGGTGGCAGTTGAGGTGGCGCAGCGCTCAGCGCTTCAGTGCCTTTTCCCTCCGGGCGTGGAGCCGTCCCCGCCCCCAACGCGGCGCTGAGAAGGCGGCGGTGCTTGGTGAACTGCCCCCCCTTAGACACTGAATCGCATCAGTCGTGGGGCCCCCGCGGCGACCTGCTCGCAGCCCCATCTGGCTCACCTTGGGGGGCAGCCTGTGCACGCTCAGAAGGCCCGCCCCCCTTCTCCGCTCGGCTCTCCCTTCCCGGGAACCGCACTCGACCGTGACGGGAACTTCTGTGCTCCGTTCTTTTATTTACTTAAAAAAT